TTTTTAAATGGTATCCATTTTTCATTACATATTTTTGTAGTTCGAAAGTTTTTTAGAACACCATAAAAAAACCATTTTTTCATTAAATACTTTTTGAGTTATAAGGCTTGAAAGTTACAGTACTGTGGGTATTAGGATTATCATTACCATGTGGTGTTCAACCACGATTAAAACCTCTTAAATATTGTTCAGCATTATGACCTGGATAATATTTGTCAAGATCGAGATCATTAGAGGTTGTTCCATTTATTTTTATTTCTACACTAAAATTAATTTATTTTTACATAAAAATGAAAATAAGGAGAATAATTAACCTCCAATGTGGCCTTGACCTTAACAAATGTTATGAAGGTCATGATCCTGAACATTATTCAAGAGGTTTTAGCCATCGGTCGGACACCTTGGATACACTGTTAAAAATATTCTGAAATTTCATTAAATTTTAAGTTACACAATTTGAACTTAATTTCATGACATTACATTAAATTTAATGTATTTTTCATGAAAATTTATGAAATTTAATGTACACGTTCATTACATTTAAGTAATTACTGTAACTTAATTTTCAATTAAATCATTCATTACTTTTAATTTTATTCATAACCACGAGTTTCATTTACATGTAAAGGAAACTCGTGGTTACATTTCTAACAATGTAATACAAACGTCGGTACTGTAACTTTCAAGACTTACAACTCGTAAAGTTGCCAGCTATTAAAATTCTGGAATCGAAAATAGGATTCCATTAACAAATTTAAATTTAACCTTGACAGGGGTTTTCAAAATAACCGCAAGGTCAAACAAATGTCAACATTATTTGTCACCCCCGATATTCTATATCTTTCGTCTAAAATGTTTTTCGATATTTTTCGAAATATTTGGTTGGGGTAATTTAAGTAGAATACTCTGTATATATATTCATATAAATCAAGCACCCCAAAGGAAATAGAAATCTATCATGTTTATCTTATGTATCCTATGTTTTTCCTGTGTAGCAAACTTTGAAACTACACGTCTCTGCATAGAAAAACACCTTAAATTAATTTTAAATATTTTTATTTGACTATATTTTCCTTTTAGAAAAAAACTGTTTATATTATTAAATTATCTGATTAAAAAATTTCATAATAATTTCTTAGTCTTATTTCGGAAATGGTAATATTCACGAATCTTGCTGTATCGAATCATACCGCGGTTAGTAACAGCAAGAGAATGGTGGTGTGTGCATGTCTTATACGAAAATGATTATTCCGATTCTCCATATACAAAGATAGTTGCCGAGGAAACATTTCATCGGATCTCTTAATCCAGACATTAAAAGTATCACGTCTTACAATTGGAACAGAAATTTATCTGAAGATATAGAAAAAGAAACAAATAAACTGATGTTGATTGTTGATTAAATGATATTAATTTTTGTTTTAACACTAATTTCATATATTTCAAGTAATTGCATTATATCGTTTAACAAAAGCGTTCATATTTTTGAAGTTTAACATATATATGTTTAATACTACATAAAGTTAAAGTAAAAATAAGTGTTTCATCTTCTTAATATGATCTTTTAAATCTCGAAAGAAAATACTATTAATATCAAAATAATAATATTGTGCTTTTCAGATAATTATTATAACATTAATATAAGAATATAGTATTATTGAAAATTAAAATTATTAAACTTAAAAAAAAAGAAAGATTTTATATTGTTGTTTTATATTATATGAGAAACTATGATTACGTTGAATAGAATATAATCATTTTAAGTTGCGAGAATAATTTTTCTTCTCTGCGAAATGACTTATACAAAAGATAATTTTTGAGAGTATTTTGGAAATACTCTCGACGAAGTTTACAATTTTTATTCAAGGAAAAAATTAAGTTTCATTTAAGAAATTAGTCACTTTTAAAATTTCTTGAAAACAACGACATTTATGACATAATTCACATCGGGACCATGAAACCAAACAATTTTTGTCTAAAACAAGTTCCTGAGTAGTTACCTCAGCCATATTGATTGAATCATGACATCATAAGCGAGAAATGACACGTTGATTTTTCTTGTATACCATTGTAAATAAAGAGAATTTGGATCAATCGAAATTATGAGATCGCTTTAAAACACTTATAAAAATGTGCCGAGACTGTTCTTACCAGATAGACATATAAGATAGATCTTCGTGTAAGAAAAGATTCAGTATCAACTTCATAATGCGAAATAGATCAGTATTCATAGTCGATTCTTACATTCAAGACTGTCTTAAGTCCATCTTAAGATGTCGTGAGTCAATCAGAGGACTATATTAACATCTTAAGATTTACAAGATACATTATATGTATTTAAGACAGTTTTAAAATAAAAACGGACTATGAATACCGTCCCATATTTCGTGTTTCACCGTTGGTAGTCACTGAGAAATGACGCGGAGCAAAAGTAGGCATGATTTGGCCAAACTGTGCACACACTATATTATTCCTTCCATTATGGCAGAAATATAGGATGTGTTCCAAATTTATTGCCAGCACTGAAAATGTTACAGTTTACGTTACATACACTACAGATTTTCATTTACAGACTTCTATCATAACACATTAGACTGCTAACTCCGCACTTTTTTTCCTGTTCAGAGTATGTATCACTTGTGGCACACGCGCAAAACATCATACGTTTATATATTTTCATATACTCGAAGAGGTTATATATACACATAGAATGAACGAAATTAGACTTATTCAATACGTTTTTGCATGAAATGAAAGAATCTAAAATGATCTGAAATAAATAGTGGTGCACATAGTTCGTAACAGTTCGTGAAAATTAGAAGTTAAATCGCCATATCTTATATACTTAGGCTACGTTCCAAAACTTCCTCTCCGAGGAAGATTTTACTCTATGCATTTTACGCTATAGTATACGTTATGTGTACTATATATTTCGAATAAAATTTTCCTCGGAACGGAAGTTTTGGAACGTAGCCTTAAAAATTAATCACAAAGAGGCTGGTCACGTGACCTATTGACATTTCTTTTTTTATACATGACGATTTTCCATTGCACATTCACTACGTGCAGGCAGTACTTTTATGTAGGGAAAAGTGGGGAGTTAGCAGTCTAGTATTATAATAGAAGTTTGTGTTTTCAGTACTGGCAGTCAATTTTGGAACACAGCCTGAGAGAGAGAGAGAGAGAGAGATTGTCCAACTGCACACACCATGTTATCCCTTCTATCATGCTTGGAGCGGATTATATCGGATAGTGATCAGGTCGGGCTAGTCCTGAACATTCGGGGTCTGATCGACCCGACCTGGTTATTACCCGATTCGACCCGGCCCGTATTTTCGGGTACCCACACATCCCTAACATATATATATATATATATTCATATAATTTAAAATAGTTATTTTTATTTTTTGTAATTTCATGAAATATTTTTATATGATTGTTAATAATTATTGTATACGAATCTGTTATTCTATTATCTCATTATCAGTAATGATTATTTAAAAAGGTACAAATTATTTAAAATTAAAAGATTTAATTTAAGTACATGCTAAGAATTCTTATATTATTTTTAATAATTTTAATAAAGTCTTTACTGGATATTCTTTTTTCATAACGTTTACTAAAATTAAATTTAAATAATTATTATTACATAAGAATTTTTTTTTGCTTATTAAAGTTATGAATTCTCAAAGAATTTACATTTCATGGAAAGATAAAGTTTAATTACACGCTATTATTTCTTAGAATGAAAAGGAGCAGCTAGAGGCAGCATATGTGAAAGTTAACTAACACAGAAGTACAATAGTATATAAATTTTAATAAAAGGACGCGAGCTATTATTTAATAACTATTTATGTTTAACGGTTTTTAAAAAATACTAAAGATGACTCAATAAAGGTCGAAACATTTATTATTATAGTTATTTTGACAAATAAATGTATTAGGTATATAAAGATATTCGCAAATTTGAAGCTAGCTTAGCTTTAATGTTTCTTTATTAATTAATTTGATTTAATTTTAAAGCTGTTTTATATTATTACTTTTGTATATTGTTGCTCAGAATTATAACCTTAATATGTCAAAGTTAAGATAATAAAAATTCATTTTTACACTAAAAATAAAAATGAAAGGAATAATCTCCAACAATGACAATTGTCTTGATCTTGATATATAATGTCAAGATCATAACTCTGAGTAACATTCAAAAAAATTTTAACCGTCAATTGGACATCTTGAATAATGCAAATGCTGATCACTGTGTACCGTAATTTTCGAATATCATAATTCAAAATTTAATGAAAAAATACTTTTATATTATATAATGTTTTGGAAAGCTCTTAAAATAAGTTGAAAGAATAAGAATATGCAATAAAAAAGGGATTTCATCAAAAAAATTAAAATTAAAGAACAAATATTGAAGAGTTAAAAAATTTTATATAATCCTGATCTAACCTTATCTTTTTAAAATCAACCAAGATTATCTTTTTTCCCCCTCAAAATCAATCCTATAACTTTTGAAATATTTTTTTTAAATATTTTAATAATTTTTCTAAATATTCTGATTTCTAAATATTTGATTGTCAAATCTAAAATGGGACACCCCGTTTATGTTGTATAGAATAAATATGTATGTACACGCACACGCTTACACAGGATGTCTCCTAATTACTGATACAATACTCGTGTAGATGTAATTATGTAATGATAGGTATACCGGAAAAACAAAAGGCATAATGATATTATGAATTCTAATCATAGTGATATGATAAGATATATGAATCCTATTTTATTTTAAAAGAATAACATATTCTGTGCACGTGTATGTATTGCTATTAGAAGTCAGGCTAAAAATGGGAAATGGAATGCTAGGGTTGATCCTAATGCATTAATATAAACGAAAGAAATATACCAAAAATATCCTCTTTTTCTTTTAATATCTATTTCAAATGTATTACTTTTTATACTGGCTATTGAAAGATTTTGATAATATTCATCAACAGTTGCAGGCGCCGCCCCTTATGGAGTATTTCCCAATCAGCCTCAATTGTACGCGACGCAAGGCCCGCCGCCGCCGACGTATGATCAAACTCTTACACATCCTATGGTGAGTCACTCGCATTATTTCGTTTCTATTTGAAAAAGAACAATAAATTTCATCAACAAATATCGATTCTCGTTTAGATGTATCAACCAATGTACGGGCAAGGGTACCCTTTACAATATTACCCGCCAGGATATCCCTTGCAATATTATCCGCCGTTAGCTGCGACAACAGCTTACTATCCTACTATGCAACCCGCCCCTGTAAGACCTACCATTATGGTACCTGTAAGTATATCAATATGTATTTCTCTAAAAAAAAATATTTCTAGGGAAGTTTAAAGCATGTCGTTGCACAAACTTAATTTTTTTTAAATATACATTGCTCCAAAAATTAAAAAATTTACCTGTTCTGCCCTCCAAAAATAAACAATTTTCAAGAGAATATAACTTCATAAAAAATTATCATAATGAAATTATCTAAAAAGCATTTTAAAGCTTAAAGTCTTTATTTTTTATATCATTAGTACAAATGATTTAAAGAAAAAAATTTAGCTTTTTCTATTTGTTTTTTAATATTGAGCATTGATATTCCATTCGTCTTCTGTCATCAAAGTCAAACAAACGCTTTTTTCAATATTAAATAATTCAGTGAAGAAAATTGTACAGTGCTCAAAAAGTACGCAAATTAAAGATAAAGATTTACTCTTTCGAAAGTTGCTTTTGTATGCAATTTTTAATTTACACTATGGAAACTTGTAGATCAAGAGGCCACTAGTGATTTTGTTACCCATAGCGACAAGTATGGCAAGTGGGTAACCTTTTATTTTATGTAAAACATAAAAATAATACATATTTAAACCCTGTCGTGGTCGCTTCAAGGGGAGATGAGCTTTCCAAAATGTTGCAGATTTTGATTTTTGAAAGCGTCATGATTGAATGTTGTTGCAATCGATAGTTAATACCTTACTAACAGCCATATCTACCCAAATATACAATTTTAGATGGAATAAGAAAATTGTACATGTTCAGGTAGGTATGGCTGTTCTTCGTGACCATCCGAAAGGAATGGGAATCATATTTCTCGACAATTGATATCAAAATTAAATAATAGAAATTTAACTTGGTCGCTTTTTTATTTTTTTTTTAAATAGAAAAAAGTTACCACTTTGACCCAGTATGGCGGTCCCTTACACCCTTCTGAGGGGTATGGGAGTCCGCCTATCTTGAAATAAGGGTATTAATTGCAACAATATTCAACTTTGACGCCTTTAATAGAAAAATCAAAATTTTAGAAAGTCCACCTTCAAGCGACCGCGACCGAGCTTAAATATATATGTATTGTTTTTATGTTTTACATAAAATAAAAGATTATCCACTTCCCATACTTGTCACTATGGGTAACAAAATGACCACAGTGGCCTCTTGGTCTATTGGTAAAGTTTGTAAAAAATTTTGAGATTTGAATTTGTATCTATATCCGTGTAAATCCGTAAAAAATCAGTTATTTAAACTACCGATCTAAAAAGTAGAAATTTAAAAGCTTTAAAATGCTTTTTTTGGATTATTTCATTATAATAAATTTTAACAAAGTTACATTTCCTCGAAAATTTCGTATGTTGGAAGACAATATAAGTGATCCTTCAATTTCTTGACGTAGTGTATATACAATGTATTTGATTTAGATGCATACACTCAGTTTTTTTTTTAAATTATAAACAATTTTTCGAATAAAAGTTATTTTATGATATATATATACATACTTACATATATGTGTGTGTGTGTGTGTGTGTGTGTGTGTGTGTGTGTGTGTGTGCGTGCGTGCGTGTGTGTGTGTGTGTAATGACTTAAATAATATTCTTGAAACTTTCACGGGTGCTTTCTATATAAGATTATGCGTTTTGCGGGTTTTCTCCGTGTTCCTGGGGAGTGCAGTATCAGGCTGCTCCTCGCCCTGATGAAGTGGACTGCAAGGTTCACGAAACAAGCCTTCGGCATTTCAAGAATGGATCTGAACATGAAAAAAATCAGCGAAACGCATAATCTTATATGACTTAGATAAGTTTAAAATTTAGTAAAATGTTTTTAATGACAGTTTTAATTCTTTAATTAAATAATATATCCATTTTATTATAGTTTTTTGTAAGGTATTTTATGAACGAATTCAACAAACATGCAATAAAATCACAATATCTCATGAATAATGATCAAAAAATAAATTTGTTATAAAATAAGCTGAAATCATACGATGTTCGATTTCTTGAATGATAAGCATACATGCATACTTGCTCTGATGCATTCTAAAATACATTCATGCCGAAGACATAGAGCATGGACTGTGCCATTCGTGTGTAACATTTATCAATAAAAATGAGAGATAAGACGCAAAGTCTTTATCTCTTTCTATTTAGCCAATCACAATGTGTTAGAAAGAAAAGGAAATTGACTGTCTTCATTCTCTCTCTCATTTTTGTTGACCACATTTGATATATTATTTAAATACGAATGCAATCCATGCTCTATAAGCGGTATTTATAGTTTATTCTTATTATAAGATCGTCTTAAGTAATATTTTAAGATGCTACAGCCCTCTAATGACATTATTATGATATTCTTATGACATCTTAAGAATGTACTTAACTATAATCTTAAATATAAGAATTAATTATGAATACCGGCATGCTGATATGCATGATTTCTGTATTTATTATGCACTACTTCGTAGCTTGCATACACTGAGAAAAAATGGTTTGTTTATTTAAATAAGATATATATATATATA